AATATCTGATTAAAAGGAATCTCCACAATCTGGATAATATCGCTAGCGACCTTTATTTCTAGGTATAGCAGCCCCTGGGGGTGCCCATTTAAAAAGGAAAATCCTCTACCGCTGAATGGAAGGAGTAGCAATTAAGAAGAGGTGTCACTGACTTGTCTTATTTGATCCTGTATCTCTGGATTTTCATAGAATTAGAGAACCTTCAGCACAGAAGGGGGTTACTCTGACACGGCCCACTCCTCCACTAGCGCCAACTTCTCAGCTGGAGGAAGGGAGGGATCAGTTTCCTTCAGCTGTTGAGCAGGGTTAGATCATTTTGTGTACAAGCAGAATTCACAAGCAAAAATCCTCCTCACTGACACCACAGGTAACAGTGTTACGAACTTTCATCCCCAAATGTTCAATGTTAAAAACAAGTAGTGTTGAGGAAATCTCGACCTCAACCCCCTTCCCCGCTTCACCTACTCTCTCTCCCTCACAACCCCCAACTCCGGTTCCTAAAGATGCTCAGCTCAAGGCCAAATCTCACGCTGAATTCACAAATGTAAAAGAATATCTTTTTTCTGAAGAGAAATCAACCGAATCGGCGTGATAAGGCGCTATATCAAATGCAAGATTTTTTTATTATTATAATAAGTCAATGCCCTTCTCCTGTTACTGTGTGCTGACAGCACCATGACACCAGATTAATACTTAGGCCATCAATGATAGGTTTCCATGCAGCGAGCAAATACATCTGCAGACACGAGGAACCTGCAGTGCCTGAATCTTCACAATATCATTGTGCAACCAAAGTAGATGATGTCCTTTTCTTTGTTTTTGTTAATTGGTGAAGTCAGTCAGCTGCAATAATAGCATCTTTTAAAACGCTGGATTCCGTGCGTGCGACGCTGTCGAGTGGCACTCTGGTCAAATAATTTCACTGTGAAGTGTCTGTGAAGCACTTCACACTAGAACAGTGTCAACACATTATTAGCTGAGTTTCACAGGGGCATTTTAATTAAAGGTTTTTATTAGAGGCACATATCATGCAAAAATCATCATGCTTTTAATACTGGTATTGCTATTCCAACTACAAAATGGAGTTAAACAATTATAGTATTATAATATAAAAGCAAGTTTCTACAAAATAGCTGCTTGCTAAATGGATTAATATGCAAGCCAGAGAAATACTCTAATCAACACAGGAGTGTTGAAGAGGCTTCGATCTTTTATAAAATTGTCCCCCCCCCCCCTCTCCAAATAACTACAGCAGACCATAATTGGTTCATTCTGAAGTATTTCCTCCAAATGCATGCATAAACACTCATGCACACACACAAACACACATAGATTCACATAAACGATCAAACACACACACAGACACATTTGGTTTAGATGAAGAAGGCCCTTCTGCCCACCTGATCTCATCCTTCCAGGATACCCACCCTATTGTTTTCACATCACAGCATCAAGGTCTATTTTTTAAAATGAGTCCAGCATCCTGGTCTAAACCAGCCTTCCATTAATTACCCGCTGGGAAAATAAATACTTCCTAGTGTCTGTCTTGAAGTTACCCTTTTCAGCTCTAAACCGATGTCCTCTTGTACGACTGTCTTGATGCATCCAAAAGTGAAGCCTTCAGATGGGCAATGAAAACCATTAAACTCTTGCTGCAGCAAAATAAACTTTGGTTGTCCCAATAGCAACAGAAAGCTCCTAAACAGTGCAACCAGCCTCAGCCACAGGATTCAGAATCAGCTTCCGATTGGTTAGCTGGTAGCAAAACCATCTTCAGAGCTACAGAGAGGATACAAGCTGTGAGGTATGCAGCAGGGCTCATAATAATGTCTTGTGTCACAACCCATTACACACTCCCGAGTACATCAAGCCACTTCCAGTTCACATCTACATGGTGTAGCCCATTTTGTGTCATAGCAGCAATTGCTTCATGTCATACTTTTTTCCAGTCCACAGCCTTTCAACAAACATAAACCTTAAACAAGGTTTCCTAGTCTATGTGTTAATACAGTTCAGTCTGTAATGGGGAAAACTGCTCCATTGATTTCCCCCTTCCTTTTATTCCTAACATGATTCCTGTCAGGGTTTTTTATGCAATATGTTCCGCAGATCACTTACATTCATCAGTGCAAAGAGGGTACCTGAAGCAGATGTAACAGTTAACTTCATGAGGAATTCTTTTTGAAGTGTGTTTGTGGCAAATGGCAAGCGAAACAGATAAAAGTTGCATTGATTTAGTTTCTTGAAATGTTGTATTCGGACGGTGAGTGGGGGGAAAAGAGACACACTACGGGATAATAATCCTTGCATTTGATATAGCGCTTTTCACGTTGGGAGGACATTCCAAAGCGCTTCACAGAACACACTGTAAAGTGAATTGACTATATTTGTGGGCGAACGCGGCAGCCAATTGCGCACAGCAATGTCCCACAAACAGTCGTAGATTGAAAATGACCAATTTTTTTTTATTATTGTTTTTGGTTTTGGAGGGATTATTATTAGGATGCAAGTAAAGGAAGCTAGGGGCAGAGGGAGATGAGGATGGGTGAGAGACACGGCTGGGAATCGCAGGGAGATCCCAGGAGACACATATCGGGCAGCAACGCATTTGATAATGCGTGCAGAATGACACACTGGACCAGCGCACCAATAAATGAATTAATTAATCCACCTTAAAAGACAGCAACAGGGCCTCAAACCTCCACATTAAGATTCCTGTAGCTCAGTGGTTAGAGCACTTGCATCGCAAGCGAGAGATCTGAGTTCGATTCTCGGCAGGGGAAATGTTGGGCAAGTTTCCTTACTCCACACACCTCTGTTTACCCAGCAGTAATTAGGAACCCGCTTGTTAGTCGATTGGCTTTTCGCTTTTCCGGGGGTAATAATTCCTTCAGAATAAATAAATAAATAAATAATAAATTGGCCACTCAATCCATGACTCTTTGCAGGACACTGTGGGTGCAATTGGCTGCACAAAATATAGTCAATTCACTTTGCAGTCTATTCTGTGAACAACAACAACACGATTCCATTTATAGAGCGCCTTTCACGTCGGGAGGACGTCCCAAGGCGCTGTACAGTTGGGTCAGGACCCGAGCAAGGGGGAAATGGTCAGGGTGAGGGGAGGGAGGGAGGGAGCGAGGAGGGGGTAGAGAGTCAAGTGGGGAGCTGAAGGCACGGTGAAAGAGAAAGGTCTTGAGACGTCTCGAAGACGCGATAAAGTGCTCTAACAAATGCAAGGATTTTTGTTATTATCACTGAAGGACACTCTCAGCTCCCCTGCTGCAGAGACTTTGTGATCAGATGCCTGTTGATTCCCAACACTGGGAAGAGGAAGAATCAAAGGGAAATGGGTATGTGCAGGCCCAGCAAATACCACTGTGATCCATCTGGCTGCTTCCAAAGTTCAAAGGTTACCGTACAATACTTCTCAAATATTTATTTTTGCCCAATATCATTCCAGCTCTCCAGAACGACTCTCTCCAACATCTTGTGGGGACGTAAAGAAGATGCAGAGATTTAATCCCACCGTAAAAGGATGGGATAGAATGGTGACTGGGTGAAGCATTGCTTTCAGACTCAGCATTTTCACTTCCAGGAGCTGCAACCCAATCCATCCCAGATTCATGGGATAAAGGTTTCCTAGGTAAAGGGCGGATAGAAAATTGGAATTTTTCCTTCAGGACAAAACCCAATTGTTATCGGCAAAAAGGAACACCTAAAATCCAGGTGAAATGCTGTGAGGAACATCGCCAGGATCTTGCCCACATCTAATGGACAATACTGAAGAGACTGTTCGATCTTACACATTGCTGGAGCAAACTCACATTTTAAAATTCTATTTATCATTGTAATATTATTAGATATTATTCGATAAAATCAATCGCAACATCCCGAAAACAAAGCGTAAACAATTTCAGATACCCTGTTTCTTTCAATAAGCCTCCACCCCCTAGCTCACACCAAGTACCCCAAAACCTTTACGTATACTGCCTTTGTTACCTCCTGCCTCGACTTTTCGAAGTGTAAACTCATGGTCTCCCTAGCTCCACCATCCATAAGCTCCAACTTATCAAATCTCCGCCGCCTCCAACCTCAACCGCACCAAACTTCGCACACCCATCATCTCAGTCCTCCCTATCTCCAAGAAGAACGATTTCAAGGTCCTCACTCTCACCTATGAATCCTTTCATGCCCTAACACTTCCCTATCTCTCTGATCTCCTACCTCAATCCTACGCTAATCCCCTCCACTCAGGCTACCCATGTGTCACCATTGGTGATCGAGCTACACCCCTAACCTCTGGAACCCCCTCCCACTCCCCTCCATCTCGTCCTCTGTCTATCTGTCTTTAATTCCTGCCTTACTTCTTCAACCACACCTATGGTTAACTGCTTCCTTTTCCACTACCCTGTTCGCCGTCTGACCCCATCGTTGTCAGAGCGCTCCGAGACATTATCCTGCATGAAGGCTGCTTTACCATTCAGCAGAAATGCTGCTCTTATGCTAATACACTGATCACAACAATTGCCGAATTTTCATTCAAACGACTCTGCGAGTGAATGCTTGCTAGCAAATGTGCAAGTTGTTCCGTGTTCTCGTCGTTGTAGTTGCGGAGGAGAACAATATTAATTATTTTAAAAAAGATTACTGGGGCTTTCCAGAGAAGGAGAGATTGATTTGATTGAGCCCGGATAGCAAGCTACTGAAAATCAATTGCTCTCGGCTATGTACACATAGCAAGATGACAATGTCATAATTTACAGCATTATCATGCAGTTGCATCGCTGCAGGAGCACAGCACAATGTGTTATGGATGGTATCGCTTCCTGCCTGGTCAGCTGTGAGCTTTCAAGTGTGGAGCAGCAGAATCATCATTCTACCTAGGCTGCCTGAGTGACAATTTCCAGGCAGCAAAGTCGTGCAACTTCGATCATCGCCCAGGCTGACACCTCATGCACGTTTTGCTAGCGTGGAGGCTGCGGGGAGGGTGTTCTTACCTACACCTCTGTGAGCGTCTATACTGGTGAATTCAATCGTCCCGTTATGGCACCTCCTCGGATCTTCTTTATATTCCTTGTGGGTTCCATTGGGTTGGTATCTGAAGGCAAGACCGTAATCGGCCAGATAGATCTGAAACATTTCAAACGATTTGGGTGAAAAAAGGGACAAGTATTGTAAACGGGGAAAACAAGGATTTTTGTTATTTAACTTAATAAATTAACCCATTAACCGCCAATGATTGGATGAGAATAAGAGCGGGCAGGACTGTAATTATGTGGAAGTCTTGAAGCTTCAAGGCTTTTAAGTTATTCTGCTGGACGTTGAATCAATGGAATTGTACTATTGGGAGTCTCACTGTAGGCTGGGATACACTTCCCTGATCTGGCTTCTGTTGTATAATGTGATTTCCCCGACTGCCCCACTGCTGGTGAAGAGTCTCAAAGGGCTGTAACACCCACAGACCTTGATGAAAAAAAAACGAAAGCTGAAAACCTCCTAGCATATGAGCAGCTCAAAATTAACCAATAAGACCTCGATCTCTTGTCAAGCTGCACCCTGACTTGCTCTACTGTCAGGGGGTGTTTCAATTGCAAAGCGAGCGAGAAAGAGAGAGAGAGAGAGAGAATCTACAGAGAAAGACTGGGGAAAACATTCACCCAGTGGTTATTGATAATCTGATAAGGTTTATTAAGGCAATTTCGCTCCGGGAGGAGGATCTAATCCTTCAATTTCTATTACATACAAAAGGAGGAAAGGAGCGATGAGGTCAGTGAGGACTTAACTTTCTCAAACCAATGCCATTAAACGGCCGCAATCTCAGGACTGTCAACATTGATGTTTTTAACCTTACTGAATGATATAGCTTAAATTGAAAATAACACCAAATGTAATGGCAAGTCAAATAGAATTAAGGCTCCCCACCTAATACTATTGGGAAAACTCAGCCCGACAGCTAATGGGTTTCATACCAATCCCGGATCTTTGGCATTGTAAATACAGGCCTGGTTGAAGGCTGGAAGTAGTCTTTGATGTCTCCACTTCCCCATTGAACAAAGGATCCTAGTTGACAACTTAAAGTCCCCTGACATTCGTGTTCTACGCCAGAGCTATTGGTTTTCAAAAGGTTGTAAACACTGCGGATCGCTGTCAGCAGCGAGCCACACTCTGGGAACACATGTAAAACAGTGTTTAAAAAGGATTCCTTCTGTAAAGTCTGCAAACATCCTACCTTTAATTACCAAAGCCTTTGCTGTCGCAACTATATAACGTGACTCAAGAATCGGGAAATACAACGCAATACAATTTGCATTTATATAGCGCCCTTCACATCGGGAGGACGTCTCAAAGCACTTCACACTGCCAATGGTCACCCGATAATACAGAGGCGACACGGGCAGCTACCCTTCAGTGATTAAGCGCTGTGGTACATATCATTACTATTTTGAACCAGCCTGTACACAAAAGTTTTGCATAGTTAAAAGCTACCACTTACTTACTTCCCTTCTTTAGGATTCCTGACATTACTTCCATTCTTGAGATCGCTGCAAGTGGACAGGGCAGATTTATGCTACAGATATTCCAAATCAATTTGCACCGTTTAGATTTGTACTGCAGCGGCGTGAATCGCCTTTCTTCAGAAACCACCTACCCAATCTCAAGGAATTATGCTGCATTTTCATCATCAGTTCAAGGCCATTTTGTGCTGATTCAATACTAAAAAGCACAAGGCAAATGGGAGACTAGACTCCAGAGACCACTTATCCTGCACACCAGTGTTTTGCAGCAACTCGTACCCCTGTTGTCCAATCAGCCATTTTCATGAAGACTGAATAATGCTATCAAACTATCAGACAGGGTCACACTACAGTGTTATAATACAAAGAAGAAAAACCATATCATCTACTTTGAGCCAGGTTATATATTTTCCATCCAGCCAGTCTGGCTCTGTTGTAGTGATGGCACAGCATAACATCTCTCTCTCAGTGCTGCGTTATCACTGTAAGAGGGGCGGAGTGACTAGATGGGAAATCATGAAATTTCTCGAGTGCCCCGGTGAATGGTTCCCGAGAGTCGCCGTGATTCACTCCCAAATACTTATCCCCACCCACCCCAGAGCCCGACAAACCGGTGAGTTACAGTTTGGACCAACCAATTATCGCCCAGAGCCCGCCACGCCTGCAAATTGGCGTCCACATGTTACCTGAAAATCCCGAGCCCTTTAGTGGAGCTAGTTTGCCACTGACTGCAACTCTTTAACATGGGAATAAATCACGTGTCAGCTTGGCTCAGTTATCAGCGCTCTTGCCTTGGAGTCAGAAGGTTGTGGGCTTGAGTCCAAATCTCAGCTGGCACTCCAGTGCAGTGCTGGGGTATGTAACGTTAAACCGAGGTCTCATCTGACTATTTAGGTGAATGCACATTTCTGCGCGCAACATTGGGCTGCCACCTTTGCCTAGAGACTACACACTTCACAGTAAATCGTGTGAAGTGCTTTAAGAGTCTCGACAACTTGATAAGGCGCTGAATCAAATGCAAGGATTATTATAAACCCAAGGGTTGTGGTGTGCATTGTGTGAGAATGTGGCATTGCAATTCAAGACATTTAAAAACTTGCAGACTGCTGAAATCTCAACTGACAATTGTTTAAAGGTCCAGGTCCATAGCACAGTGTCCCCCACACTCTGAAAAATCCAGTCAAGGTTCTCGAATCCAGAGTGTTCAAGAGCTAGTGTTACGTGCTTCACCGTTTACGTTTACATATTTGTTCAGCCAAACAGTGCTTTCTATTGGCAAAAAAGGCACATAATAGCTTGTGTTATTGGCGGAGACAAATGTACAATACCTCTTTGTCATTTGTACAGCCCAGAAGGAGGTTTGCTGCCTTGATGTCACCGTGGATGTATTCGTTGTCATGAATAAACTCCAAAACATCCAGCTTGGTTTGTGTAAAGTAAAACAAAACAAGATTGAAAGGTCAGTCAGCAAGATGCACACAGCAAAAAAAAAAATCCTTAATAAATATGCTTGCATTAGTTTAACCAACAATGCACTGGCAGCAACACATTGAGGTACATTCCTCACACCTCAACGAGAGGGTTGGTCTTAACATTTCAGTCACTATATATTAAGTATAATGCTACCCAATGCCAAATATTTATCATTTAGCCAGAAGGACACTATGTCGGTTGCCTTCAAAACAAACTGAAATAGCTGTAACATACTTACATAACTGTAAATAACTTTCAGACGTCTTGAAGACGTGATAAGGCGCTATATCAAATACAAGGTTTTTTTAACATCTGCACAACATGCTAACTGATTTATTGTTTTTTTCATTCCAATTGTCTCACTTTATCATCCTCTTCTAAAGGTGGCAACTCCCGCAGTGAAAAGGAAGCTGCATTTCAATAAAGATCTGGCTTCCTTTTGCTGACATAAATGAACTAAAAGTTACTACCATTTGTTTCACACTTACCATCTGAATGCTTATCTTCAAAACCTTTGCTTTACTGAATCGGTTTCCACTTTGTTGAAGTACATTCTGTAAATCTTGGCCCAGTCTGTCCATCACCATGAACCTATAACTGTTTGGAGAAGAAGAAAAATATAAGTTACAAAATATTAAACTGTTTGCATTTACGGTAGAACAACAGGGCAAATTAGGACAGATTGAAGCTCTTTGAGACGTCTTGAAGGTGTGATAAGGCGCTATATCAAATGCAAGGATTATAATTATTATTATTATTTCCACTACAACGTAAACCTCCTCACCTCTTTTCTTTGTATTTAGCTAATCCTGTTCCCCAGTAAGTCGGTATTCCCAAGAAACTCAGCTGGTGGTTCCTCATCCAATCCCTGACTGATAAAGAAATGTACAAAATAAACCTTTAAAAACACTTGCAATTTGGTTTTAATGAACATGGCAATATTAGCCCCGCCATTCACTGTGTGCTATTTAATCCAGTTATCTTTGTCGTAAGACTGCAATTATGTTACAGTAATTATTTGTCTCATTCATTAACTGCAAAATAAGGATGATGCTGATATATAGCACTTTACCCTTGAATATTCAGTCCTTCTAGTTTATATATAAAAAATAATTACTATGTATGAAGACATCACTTGGTTTACTCATTCACACAAGCTCTGTGCCACCAATACAATTTGTAATTAACATTCTCGCTCTTCACGGATACCTACTATGCTCAGATTTTGCTACCCTCTGATAAAACTTCAACTCTGTGAACAAGGGGCCATTTTCATGGTATTCCTGAAAGGAAGAATTAACTTTTTTAATATAGTATTCACCGAGAAAAACAGAAGCTATAAAAAAGACAAGCAAGATCATGAAACATACAAATACCGATTAAATTCAAACACCAATTTGTACTGAGTTAGCTAATCTCAGCCTAGTAAACATTTGGGATTCTTTTGTCATCCTTGCTCTGGATAGCCCAATTTAATATACTATCGGCTTACTGCAAAAGGGCTGCTTTACCATTTTATGCCAATGAGAACATGTTTCCACTTGACGTGGAACTGTTCACTAAGATCGATCAAGAGTGAAAAAAAATTCAACGGGACTTGGGCAGATATACAATTTAGGCGAATATACAATTTATACAGATCAGACTTAAGTGAGATTTACTGTACAGTATTTCTAAGCCAGATTCCTTAATAAAACATCACAATAAAAATTCTGATTGACATACAAGATCTCTGCTCAGTAAGTAGATCCTGTCGGATTTAAGTTCCCACGGGTCAGTGTGTAAGCAATCCCAGAATTCTGGGTGGAAGCAGGTTTACAGAACACAAAGTTTCAACATCGTCGATGATAAGACATTATTGTTAGCTACACAATGAACGTTAAATCTGTGGTACTCAGATTTGTTTAAAACAAATTTTTAACAAATTTAAAACTTGTTATGAATTGAACTAAGTAGACGTAAGCATTACTTTTGATTGATTAATTGATTGTAACTTGCATAATCTTTACTAAGTTATATTAATAATTATCAATTGATTGAAGAATTTGTGCTGGTCCTTACTTCACTGCAGGGTAAAAAATTTAAGAAAACCGTATAAGTGCAACGCATTTCCAGCTACTGAAAGAAATCCCCATATGTAGGACTCAAAGTCCTTATTAAGGAATCCTATTCTAAGAAATATTGCAAATGAAACTGCTATTGACACAGTTAAGCACTCAGTTAAACACTGTTGCTTGTTCCAAATTTACAAACTTGTCTATTGACCTGTGCAATGATATAGTCCTCCTTATGTACATGTTGAACGGAATCAAAGTTAATTCTCTGGACGAGCACTTACTACTTTAATGACGTGTACAGCATCATCACAAACAGCCCTCTCTGTAGCAGGAGCAGCTGGTGAGAAAGTTAAATAGAAAACACAGTCAGAAACATTAACAGGGAAAGGCATCAGTATTGTATTTGCTGCTTGAAGGTTGATAGCCTGGGATGGATAAAACTCTTCGATCTGATTTCATGAATCTATCTGGGAGCATGGCCTGGTCATCCATTAGGTACAATATAATTTACATTTATATAGCGGCCTTCGCAGTGGGAGGATGTTTCAAAGTGCTTTAAAGCTCAAAGAGATTAAGGGTCTTGATCTTCACTTTGTGAAGAAATGAGCAAGCATTCCAATTGCAATTAAGAGTTGCCCATAGGTCTTACTGTCTACGTTACAGATGATAAGAAAGAAAGCCTTCTGTTAAAAGTGTTAATTCCGGTACATGTAAAGATGAAATTTCACACGTCTTTTCATATCACTTGTCATATACCCAAAAGCAGACTCAATATTGGAATTCAAAAGCACAGAATTTTGCCCATAAAATATACTGGGCGAAAATTCACTTTACAGTATATTCTGGATGTATTCGGTGTCATGAATAAACTTGTCATGAATAAACTCCAAAACATTCAGCTTGTTTTGTGTAAAGCAAAAAAAAACAAGATCGAAACGTCAGTCAGCAAGATGCACACAGCAAAGAAAAAAGTACGTAATAAATATACTTGCATTAGTTCACTCTACATATGTTTATCTATTTATTTATGCCTTTTGATTTGATGTTTTAACTGCAGTTAGGCCAGCCTCTGGGCTGATTCTGACTAGTAAAGTAATGATATGATTCTACAAGTATTTTACGGCTAATTTAAATGAAACCAAAGTATAAAAATATTTTGTTCTAAGAGAGGAAAAGCACATCCTTCACATATTGCCAGTGACTCAAAATAAGAGTACGAGAAAGCAGGAAAATGCATCTTGTGCTAAGCAGATTGACATGTGCATTCACATTCTAACTTCCATTTTTTCAGTCAGAAGAAAACACCTCCACACCCTCATCACCTAAAGGGGTTCTCTTCACATCACTAAATAAACTCTGGCTAAAATAACAGGATGCATCAAGATTTTGTTATCGTCTGAGAAGGAAGATTTTAAGACCGCAGTGATCTTTGGTCTTATGCTGTGACCCAGTCTATCACAAACCTCTACTACACTCAAGACTGTTAACTTTATCCATTTACTGTAGGTAAATTTGGTCATTTGCTTCACAGCTTGCTGTGGGAGGGACATTGTTGTGCGCAAAAAGTCACTATGCTTTATGGTGAATCCCATTCAGGCGTTTTGAAACATCCTTCTGACCTGTAGGGTATAATGTTAAATGTGAGGATTATTATTATTAATAATAATAGTAATTTGGATACATTCGAGTGCAAGATTCACATAGCATGTTATTCTTTCTTACCGAGATATATCAGCCCACATCCGCCACTGCCAAGAATTTTTCCAAGTTTCCAACTCTTTTTCTGAAAATCATTCAAAACGTAGCCGGGTGGGAGAGGAACCGGTAGCTTCTTTCTTCCAGCACATTTAGGTGGCATCGTACCTGACAGGAAGCAAGGCTGGTCTCAGTACTGTAGATAACTCCTAAGACATAATACACAGTTTATTAGAGCCCAAAAAGTACTTTATTCAAATTTAACTTTCTCTTAACCTGCCCTGGAATCATTTCTGACTGGAACAATAGGAATACTACATGTGCAGAAACAGAGCAGCGGCAGTGTGTGTCGGATGTCAAACACACACAAATTTCACTTGGTTAGAAATATAAATTTCACAACAAAGAGCATATGACAGGCTACACATAAAGCTAAATGGGAATGTGACAACATCACAGTTTGCATTAAGAAAGTAGCAATAGAAGCTCAACCTTCATGAAGCGCAATGTTTCAATAGATCTAATTAAGCATGTGAGTTGTCGGATCTTGAATTCACATCCCCTTGGCAATACAATCCGAGGGGCATCTTGTATTTGGAGGTACTGTCCTTCAGATGTGACGCTAAACTGAGGACTCGCCTGCCTGTTCGGTTGGACATTAAAGTTGGGGGCTCGGTGCTCAGTGCAATGGCACCTTAATAAATTTATCCTAAAATGTATCCTAAAAATTAATAGTAATAATAAATCGATCATTTCAATCCATGACTCTTTGTGGGACACTGCTGTGCACAATTGGCTGCTGCATTTTGCCCCAAAACATACAGTCAATTCACTTTACAGTATATTCTGTGAAGCGCTTTGAAACATCTCGAAGACGTGATAAGGCGTTATTGCAAATGCAAAGATTATTATTATTATCACTCTTCTCCCTTTCCCTGCTGCAACATTGCCCGACTCCATCACTGCCTCAACCCTCAGGCCGCTGAAACACTACTCCCAACTCCCTGCTTGTTGGCTTCCCATCTCTTCCCGGCACAAGCTGCAGATCATCCAGAACTCCGCAGCTCGTGTCCTCTCCTGCACCAGGCTCCGTGACCCCATTACCCCCATCCTCACCTGGGCTCCACTGGCTCCCCATCCCCCAGAAGATAGAGTTCAAAGTCCTCATCCTCACCTTCAAGGCCCTCCATGGCCTTGCCCCCTCCTACCTCTCTGACCTGCTCACCCCTTATCAACCTGTCCGCCCCCTCCGCTCAGCAGACTCTGGCCTGTTCCACGTCCCCCACACGGTCTCTTTGCCCCACCATCGTTGGTCAGGCCTTCAGCCTTTCTGCCCCCACCCTCTGGAACTCCAACCCATTCCCTTTGCCTCTCACTCCCTCCCTTAAGGCACGTCTCAAGATCTTCCCCTTCGACCTTGCCTTCAGCCGCCCTCCTACCCTCACTGCACCGCCCCACCACCACCCACCGGCTCAGGTTCTAATCCCTAACCCCTGACTGTTCAGCGTCTTGTTGATGTCCTTCCGACGCGAAAGGCGCTTTACAAATGTAATTTTGCATTGTTTTTTCCCCTCTCCCTCTCCCTTTAGACAGATATCCCAGCTCACTACGTTTAAAAGAAACGCGAGTTCCACTCTTACACTATCCTGAAAGCAGATGATTTTCAAAGCCTGACCTTTACCTTTTCATTTGTGTTTGGTTACTCGTTGCTGTTAAAACACCGTTTTTATGTCTGGGGCATTGCAGGGAATCTGCTGCAATGTAACCGTAACGCAATAACTTGAGTTGTTTGCGAAAAAGAAAAGTAAACTTGGAAAGTCCCGAGAAGTCACGTGGAAAGAGAGAGAGAGAGAGAGGGAAGGAGAGGGAGAGAGAGACTGCGTCACGCTGCTCCCAGGCAGCTGCTGCAAAAAATGTGACCAGATTAACTGTCTGTCTGGTGGAGAGGGCGTTACATTAATAAAGCGAGCGAAGCCCAGACTGGTAGAGGAGGGCCCTGTGCTGTTTTGCATAGGATGGGCGTGCACAGGAAACACAAGCAGCTGCATTGTTACTTCCTCAGCTACACTACACACATCGGGGTTTAAATGTGGGACATCTTTATTCATTCTATTCTTTCAATGCTCCATCTAACTTAACACCGCAATTCCCATCTGCAACTTTGTTCCGCGATGGCTTTTTAACTTCCCAGGAGGAGGTTTAGCTTTCCAGGCACTCGTAGGATCAGGAGTGGTCTTGAGGATTGTTGTAGTGTTTCGGATTTCACCCACCCTACCACCCATTCAATTTAGTTATAAGCGTTTGACTGGTTTCTTATACAGGGAGTTTTATACACCACCATTCCCGCCCCCACCCTTATAATAATACTACAGTACTTCCATTTGACATGCTGCCCGCAAAATATACAGTCAATTCACTTTACAGTATATTCTGCATTTGATCTAGAGCTTGATCATGTCTTCAAGACGTCTCAAAGCGCTTCACAGAATACACTGTAAAGCGAATTGACTGTGCATATTTTATAGGTGAAATGCGGCAGCCAATTGAGCACAGCAGCGTCCCACAAACCATCGTAGATTGAGTGACAAATTTATTATTATTTTAAATATTTAAAACAATTATTATGCCCGGAAAAGCAATTCACCAATCGACTAACAACCGGGTTCCTACTTATTGCTAGGTAAACAGAGGCATGTGGGGTAAGGAAACTTGCCCAACTTATCGACCTTCCGGGAATCGAACCCAGGTCTCTCGCTTGCGAGGCGAGTGCTCCAACCACTGAGCTACAGGACTCCACATAAACTGGGAATTGGGAGTATATGAAGGCAGAATTGTGGACACATTTTTAAATGCATATAATGAAGTTTATCAGATGGAAATATAATGTCATTTAAACTGCCTGAAATAAAAGCATTATGTAGGCAGAATGAACAGCGTGCAGAAGTAATGATCCAGTTATGGTCCTGTGTGCGCACAAAATTAACTGAATGCTCTTGAACTGGCCTGATTAGAGACATCGGTGTCCCTGAATTTAAAGAAATGGATAAGAAGTGTGAGGGAATTCTCCCCTCACCTCTGCCTATTCTAAATCAAAAGAGAAAAATAACCCCTCTTCCTTCCTCTCCCCACCCATGGCTAAGAGTTGTCTGTAATACCTTTAGGGAGCTAATAGAATTACAAAGCACAAAAAATGAGGACACTGTGTATTTAACTGTAATTAATGCTGTTCATTCATGCGTATAAAAGCAGAGTTCACTGCAGCTCTCTGGAAGTGATACTAATGTATGAATGCACTGACTGCTGTACAGTTTTATACCACCTGAATAATAATAATAATGATAATAATAATAACAATAATAATCCTCGCATTTGTTATAGCACCTTATCACGTCGTTGAGACATCTCATAATGTTTCACAGGATATACGGTAAAGTGATGCGACTGCGTGTATTTTTTGGGCGAATGATATCAGCTGTGTTTGTTTAATAATAATAATAATAATCCTTGTATTTGATATAGGCTTGATCACATCGTTGAGATGTCTCAAAGCACTTCACAGAATACACTGTAAAGTGAATTGACTGTGCATTTTGTGGGCAAAACCGGCAGTCAATTTAGACCAGGAAGTGAAGGTTACCGAGGATTCTTTCCTTATGATTATTGTTTCAAATGTCATGTCAAGAAAGGTACAAATGGGGGCATTGACCTCTAGTGCCTAAAAAGGGGGAGTGGGGGTAGGAGCTGAGTAGAGAAATTGGCTGTCTGGCTTTCAGCCTATCTGCTCCCACTCTCCGGAACTCCATCCCAGAGTCCTCACGACTCGACCCTTTCCTCGCCTCCTTCAAGGTCTGCCTCAAGATCTTCCTCTTTTACCACCGTTTCAGCCATTTGGAGTCCTGTAGCTCAGTGGTTAGAGCACTCACTTTGCAAGTGAGAGACCTGAGTTCAATTCCAGGCAGAGGGCGAAACCTTGGGCAAGTTTCCTTACTCCACACAGAGCCTAATAATAATCCCTCCAAAAACCAAAACAATAATTAAATTGGTCATTTTCATTTTCAATTTTCATTTTCAATCTACGACTGTTTGTGGGACATCGCTGTGCGCAATTGGCTGCCGCGTTCGCCCACAAATATACAGTCAATTCACTTTACAGTGTGTTCTGTGAAGCGCTTTGGGACGTCCTCCCGACGTGAAAAGCGCTATATCAAATGCAAGGATTATTATTTTTATTATTATTATTATTATTATTATTATTATTATCTTTCTCCCCCTCACCCCCTCAGCCCCCAGCCCCCACCCCCCCAGTTCGGGTGCAAAATTTAGATGGCCCAGCGCCTTAGGATGTCCTTCTGATGTGAAAAGCACTAATATAAATGTAAATTTGCATTCCTTTGTTTTGTACACAATTAGCTCACCGGGGCTTGAAATGCACAAGGGTTGGGAATCGATAACTTCATAAAATGCACACAAATGGAAGAAAACATATAATTTCAGTTCAAATCAGGCTTTCTCTCGCTCAAAGAGAGTCTCATTGTAAAATATTGAAGTAGGTGAAGCTAAATGACCTGGTCTTTAATAATGATAATAATAAACAATAATAATAAATAATAATAAAGCCGCAAAACTAGACCAAACCCAACAGCAATGTGCTTGCCTCCCCACCCCCAAGAGGACAAAAGTTTCTGATGAAAAGGAACAAGTTACATCCCTTCCAGTTCTGAATTTAAACAGATGAGTTTGAGCCTGAGCACGTTCTCTGTGTCTCTCCAAAAGGTGCACAATCGTAAACTGATAGCAGCGGCACCTCGTGTGTTCCTGTGCAGGTTATAGCGGGCAAACGTTTGCAATAGTTACGATAAAGAAGTCTCTGTGTTCTCTTTTCAGTGCGTAAGAGTCTTCAGCAAGGAAGCTGAGGATTCCACGTGAATGCAGAAGTTTTTTTTAAATGTATATTTATATACTTGTTTAGTAGGTAATTACAGTGCTGGGATCCAGAAATTTTCAGAAGTCAGAGGCAGCATTCCCCCATCTCAGTCATTGTCTAAGTATATGACACCCATTTCCAAAAGGTTGTGGCACCATTTTCTGTGACTGGTCCTATGAATGAGATCACTTAATTGTAATAATTAAGCAAGCACCTAAGGATATCATCAGAGTGACCCACCCAAACCCAAGTCCATATGGTTTGAAAGAGATAATGAGCAAGTTA